AAAAAATACATGTCATTAATACCAAAATGGAGTTTCAGTACCATATGGCATGAAGTCATAGTGTTGGCCAATTATGTGACTTCATGCAATGAGGTCATACAATTTCTTATTTGCTGTGTTTGGAATGCCTCAGCAGAATCGTACTTGCGTCACATGGTCTATGTGAATCTACCCTTCATTATGGGGAATCACCATCCAAAATGCATTGCTTTAAAGGAGAAAGCAGGCAAAAATATAGGTTCCGTATTGGTCTGTATGCATTGGTCTATACTTGCAGCGTACATGTTGATCATAATTAATATCCAAACATGAATTTGTGTGTTTGTTCATGTTAACATTGTAGTACTGATTCTAAACAAACATCACAGTATCTTAATTGGAAATCATAATTAATATCCAAACTACCAAACATAATACCTTGACTGCTGCCTCAGCACCCAAGCCGATATCAATCTTCTGGGGAAGAAGGAGCAAGGTCTTGTCAGATGTATCAAGCTTTGTGAGCTGAAAGGGAGTGATGTCTTGGAGGACCTCTCTCTTCACACAGCGTCTCAGTAGACTCTGTCAGTAGGCAAAAGTACCATTAGCCCATTTCATTTCCTTTTATCTTTTATCAAACAATGACATCATAATTCTAATCTAATTCAATAGGATTTCATTAATTTAAGAAGGCAATTAACCCAGACTTAGAATAGGAGACTGGCCCTACAACATTTTACATACAATCCCCAAAATGTGACAAATAGTTTGTTATTTTGGATAAAAGATTAATAAATAAACAAATAAGATGAGAAGCTCATGCCAACAAATCATACTACCCATATACATGTACAGTAAATAGTTACCTTAATCAACTCAGCCAAGTCTTTGCCAAGGAAAGGCATCACAGGTTCATCGGTCTGGTACATCTTCATGAATGGGTGGAAGGTCCTGGCCACAGTCATGAAAAAGTGCATCTTCGCTGTCATAAGGGGATCCTTAATGGCTGCCTCAATGGTGTCAAAAGATGCCGTCTTGGGGTTTAGCGTCACACATACAGCATGAGAGATGGCCAGACTGCCAGAGCCCGTTCAACAACTGGGAGATTTTCAAGCCACCTGTGGCCACAAAATGGCTTGGGAAACAGAGTACATTTTGTGATTTGTTTGTAGTCCTCCCTCCTTGCAGGAACGTTGTGGAAAACAGTGTGCATGGCCTTTTAAACTTTATCCACATTCCACATCGAAAATCCAGCCTTGAAGGCGTTATGAAGTGTGTGGAGTCCACAGCTGCCTACGGACACCATTTGTGCATGGTCCTGTTGGAGTAGGTCCAAAAGCTTCCAATTGACATTGGGCCCATCCATAGAGACTGAAATGAGATTGCTGCGGTCCAATGGATGCAATGCCTCCTTTTGGAAAATAAGAAGAAATAAAAAGATTAAATAAATTAATGACCACACACATACATTTAACTGTATAAATTCAGCTACATGTTAAACTGCAACCTTTCTTCTGGTATGGAGCTGATGCAGATTATTAAAAGACATTCATTTTAAATTATAGTGAGGCTGAGAAGGAGTTTATCTCCACAGGTGTCCTTAACAAACAAAACGTACTTTTTACTTAAAAGTATTTTAAGTAAGTATTTGAAACTCACTCTACATTATCTAGCCTACTCGTTTTCATCCCATGCATAGGTTATATGCCGACTGAAAAATCATTAGGCTTTCATTTCCGTAGGATACAATGCTATCGCACAGATCATACGATATACTGCTCTATCTGTGTGTGAGCTGGTCAGTGCGTGAACACAGAATAACCAGCTAGCCAAACTCGTTCACGAGCCAGGATCGTGAGCGCTTTGCTCCATTATTTTCTGTCTTCAAAGTTGACAGGTGAAAAGCGAGTAAAACTGCCACAAAAATGTAATGTACAAAAGAAACTAGGTTAAACCAGCCTAATAAGGTTGTTCTAACAAACCACTTAGCAGCTAGGCTAACTGAAAACCGCATTTATAGTTAGCTGAACAATGCATTGCATTAATCATACAAAGCTTAGCATAACACTGTAATCGCTAACACTTATTTACGAGTGAATGGAGAAACATTGTTCACTAATATTACGTCTACAGCAAGTAAATATGTAAACTAAAGTGAGAGACAACTCAGACTTACAGACATTGCTGTCGAGGGCATGAGAAAAAATATAAATTAGCCTATATGATTGTTATTCTATGGGACATTGATATGGAACGGAGCTTAAATGTTATGCCCTAATTTTAGAACTATTTTCAACAGTTAAACTGTCAACACAGCCAAACAAAAAACTCCATTCTATTTGTCCGGGCTATTAAAGCTGTCACTTACTTCGATGTGCTTCAGAAGGTCCTGCGCTGTCCCATGTCCCATGAACTGAGAGCCCAGATATCTCGACCGCACCTCCCCATTGCTCCAGAAACGAACGTGGAGATCCAGCTGCTTGGATTTGGTGGATGAGTTGAAGCTCTCGTTGAACATCAAGACATGCTGTCCGCTAATGGTGTTAATTAGATCTCTCTTGATGAAGTCCGCTATGCCAAATCTTGCTATATAAGCGATTTTGTTTGGTCCGCAGGTAAACGTTTTTGCAATGTTTGAGTCGGGGAACATTGTCTGGAAAAGGTCACCAATATCATCACTGCTGTTATATGACAAATGTTTTGTCACTGTGTGGAGAATCCAAAGTACCTCAGATTTTGAGGTCTCGGTTGACCCGAAAGTAGCCCGAAGATCATTAGGTCTATGAAGGTCGACGAAGATGTAACGTGGAGTCCGGAGGGACCAAGCGACGATGATGTAGATGGCTGCTGGGATGGGGCACAAAACTGTGAGATGGTCTGACTCCGCTGAAGGCTTTTCATGGCAAGCTGGTGTTTGTCTGCTTTGGCATGAGACTCCAGCGCCTTTACACCCAATGTCCCCGACTGTATTACCTTCTTGCAGACTTTGCAGCGAGCCTCATGCCTACTGCTGGGGACAGCTTGTAACCAGCTGCAAAAATTGCCATTATCGAGCCAAGCGCCGTTAAACACACACTTACCCATCTTTAAAAGCTATACGCTTGACAACAGGGTGTCACTACCGAAAATGTAATTTCCGGTAATGTACACTTCTACAGGCTGGATACTGAACATTTTGCGGCAGACCGTGATTGCGTGATTCAGGGACGTGGACGTCGTGTATCATCATTCATTGGTCACGTATTGTGAGATGGGTCATCGATGTTTATATTTGTAGTTCAGCCGTCACTTTATTGTGGTATTTAAACCATTTTGCTTTGCCATTTGTAATGGTTTGCATCTGTGTTTGCATTTAGTGCCTGACAGTAATCTTACATAAGATTTTGTCCAAATGGTATTGCTGAATAGATGCCTTTTCTTTAGAAAACGTAATAAAATTGGGGTGTATATCAAAATTGTTCTATATTCATGAACCAAAATTTTTAACCTGTTGTTTGAATTTTTAACCTTGTGTTTGAAGAAGGAAGTCGTTTTCCTTTGCCTGCTGGGCTAAAATGAAGGGAAAGGAAGCTAACAAAATGCTCCCCTTAGTTATGGACATGGGCATTATTTACCCTAATTCCTGTACATCTGGTTAATGTTTTTTTTTTTATTATACTTTAGGCCATTTTAAATCTTATTTTGTTTATCAAGGGGTTGTGATATATGTACAGCATTTTCTAAAATCACACCAAAATAATAGTAAAGAACTTTTATTTGCACAACGTAAACAACTAAACGCATGGATGTGCGGTTTGGCCCAAAATAAAACAAATATCATTTGCTTCATTTAGCACCACAACACACAGCTGCCATAACTGACATGAGTGTGTGGTAATTACACTGATACAAATAAGAAATGACTAAGGAGAAAAAAGAAGGCTTAGTTTAAGTAACTTCACAGCACATCGAACTGCGTGTAATACATAATGGTAATTTCATTTAGCACATAAAGAAAAACATTAATGTCACCTTTGACTGTAAAATTGATGGCCGTACGCCATATTTTACGTCACTCCTTCTGAGGCACATTGGGTATTAATGCCCTGTGCGAAATAAAATCTTTTACAGTCAAAGGTCTTCATCATTATCCGGTTAAATCTTCTCTTTCCTCTCGCTGTGGACATTCTCATCAAAAATCAACAATGAAATGTGACGCGATGCCGTAAAAATAGCACGCCACCTTCCAGAAGTCGTAAGCATGCATATGTGTAGTAGCGTAAGTTACATTTTCGGTAGTGACACAGGGCTCTCAAGTTTTCCGAACTGTTTGTTTGCCTAGCTGCAGTGATCACGCAATGGGATTTGTAGTTTTATTACCACACAGACATCGGTGCAGACCAGTGTCTTGTTTTACAGCGTTTTACTATTTTATTTTCTGCGGAAAACGCTTTTTGGGAATTAATGGAGGTAAGAATTTTAAGACTTGGGTAAATTAAATTTAAGACCTAAGATGAAAATCTGGGCATTTTTAAGACATTTTAAGGCCTTAAATTTAACTTTCTGAATTTTAGACTTTTTAAGACCCCGCGGGAACCCTGTATTATGTATATCTAAGATGTAATTGTGGATAGTCAATGGATCGTTTTTATGATAAAACGGCCTCTTATTTACTCTTCAACAGATATCCACAATACATTTGTAGATATCTGCAATTGCGTTGTTCCTAGTTATAATTCTAATTGTAGATATCTGAAATTGCATTTTACTAGTCATAATATGAATTGTGCATATCCATAAAGACATTTTTGCTAGTCACAATCTATTTTGGATATTCAAAATTACATTATGGATATCTAAAATGGTGGTATCCTTTCAGATATCTGAAATTAATATTATGACTAGTAACAAATGAGTTTTTCCTAGTAAGAATTCAATTGCAGATATCCAGAATGAACGTTATGGATATTTGAAATATAATTGTGGATATCTGAAATTAAAAGCCCAATAGACATGAATGGCAAAAGTGACAAAACAATGACGATGTGGATATCTGAAATGACAATTGTGGATAGGAAGTATGTCATTGTGGATATCTGAAATGCTCTTTTTGACTAGGAAGAATTAAATTATGGATATCTGCAATGCATATCTAGTCTAGCGATTAAATGTTAAAATGGCTTGCCATAGGAGCAGGCTTACAGGCTGGATCTTGCATGAATTTGGTTTTCCTCCTTAAGTGTTATACCGACATTTCAATCTTTCTTCTTTTGCACTTAATTGGAAGTTGTTGCTTAAATTTGTTACTGCTGAGCTGCAACCTGTTGTCATTTCTACTCATTTCTGTTCCACCTAAAATATGTGTATAAGCTGTCTGTTTACAGTATATACATTAAGTTTTGCCAATACAGATTATTGCTTGTTGCAAAGCATTCCCTGCCCCTGTGGTTTTATTAATGACATTATCAGCAGTTAGTTGACTTTGATTCGGCTTTCATATCATAGCTGTGAACTTCAAAAGATCTTAAGTTTTTGACTCATAGAGTGAAGGTAAGCATCAGTGTAAATGACATGGCCTGTTATCGGTGAACACAGGACACTGAGCACACTGACACCCTGAGGGCCTGCAGCCCCTTGGACACATCACTGCACGACAGGACACAGGTAACCAGAAGCCTCCAGGCCTGGACCCAATCTGATCCCACACAGTGAGGATCTCTGCCCTGTTGCAGCCACACATGACCTCTGACCTCTTCTCCCCTGACATGTGCACTGCATGGAAAAGAGTAGATAGGGAAAAGTGAGTGATGCAAATCGATTTCTTTGAATATAACACATATAATGAAAGGCATCAGCTTGACCATGACTCTGTGCTGGGGTCCTGCTGCAGATACATCCTGTGAACCAGATGTGAAGCCTCTGTGCTCAATCAGAATCAGTAATTATTAAACTAACTACCAGGGAGAACTGAGAACAAGGCCTGTATTTAGAATCGAGGTCCAGGTTTGAAGAGCTCTGCTATACACTAACACTCCAGATAAAAACATCCCACTGGCCAATCAGGTTTCTGTTATCTGGACACTTCAGATACACACATTAAAATTCAATATCATGACAGAGAAATTACACTGCAGCTGTTCAAGTAAATATATAGATAAATTAAATGAATTCACAACTGATCCAAAATCGGCCAGCAGCCTGGCTGAGCAAGGGTGACCTCCACGTACATTTCTGTGAAATCCAGCATGTGGGGAGGTGGGGGACTTCCAGGACTGAGAGCGGCTACTTAGTATGGCAAGCGGGTACAGCTAGTGAGGTCGCCTGGCAAACTCCGGTGAATATTTATGAGTTGCAGCCGGTGCAGCCTGACCTTGAGGACGAGGGTCTGCAAGTGGGTTCATAGTGGGGAGAGCAGGGCATGCTGGGAGAGGAGGGCTAATTACCACTGCTTACACCTGGCAGAGCAGCCTGGACTGGATGGTGTTCTCCATCTCAAAAGAGGTGGCCAGGTACTCAAAGACATTTCAAAGGGAGATCTGCACTGAACGACTGCTAAATAAATAACCACAGATCAGCAATCAGCTTTTGCATTTTTAATGCTTTTCTCTTTGGTTTATAATTAAGTTTTATTTTACATGCAACCTAAGGTTGGGTGTGGGACGGAAGCTTTGCATTGTAATCTATGTAGTTTAGCCTTTCATCAATATGGTGCTTTAATATTTATATGGCATTTGCAGTCGAAAGGGTCTACACAAGAGCATAACATGTACGGTAATAATACTATCAGTGGTTATGATTTAAGTATTCAGTTATTATAGATAATTATTATTGCAAATTATTATAGATTGAGGTTTCTAGAATGACGCTGTACTTTCAGGCATCAAAAGACATCAATCTTTGAGCATTCATTCCTTAAATGATTTTGATACTGACCCACACACATCCCCTTAACCAAACACAAAGCACTGTGCAAAGAAGGATCCAGAAAAGGTGTTCGGAGTGTATCCAGCATGGATCGTATGTCCAATATGGGGGTGTGCCCCATCCTTTCAGCGGCACGTCTCATACGCTGCCAGTTTATTTGGGTTTCAAAATCACCTAGAACCCATGAAATGCCCTCACCCCCACCACCACACAGCAGCTGCCAACTCCTATCTTCAGACTGTGAACCGAGAGTTTCCCATCAAAGTAAACTGTGGGATCATGGAATCTCAGGTCGCACCAGCGCTCAATTTAGGTATCAGAAGCCTCTCTTACTCCTCAGGAGGCCACAATAATTACATTTTGAATGGTGCTGCTATGACAACCGAAGTACCTTGTGTTAAAAGCCACAGCCCAGTGGTTATGCAGCAGCACAAAACATTCGGGGGGGGCGTCCTGGTGACAGACCTGCTAGCAGACAAACACAGCACCAAAGAGGACCAAGTTCTCAAGGTAAATTAATGCCAGAAGAGAAATGCATCACAACCTGTGACATCACACATGTAAAACCGGAGACCATTGTCAGGGCATGTGATCAACCAGTCACAGGAAATGGAAGGAGATGCTTGTATCACCCACATTCAAGCCCACAAGTACATAGGCACTTTCACACTGAAGTCCAGGGTCCTGGTCCCAGTTTACAAGTCCCTGGGCTGTCTCATCCATCCATCCATCCATCCATCCATTTACTTCCGCTTATCCGAGGTCGGGTCGCGGGGGCAGCAGTCTCAGCAGGGAAACCCAGACTTCCCTCTCCCCGACCACTTCCTCCAGTTCCTCTGGGGGAATCC